CACAGGAAGTTAGCAGTCCTTGAAGTGGCTGCCTTGAGGCTACCTAGGACCTTACTACCTAATCGTCCTCTCCTCCATGAAGCACTGACATGTATTACTTTAATCACGAGCTGTTTCCCTCCAACTGAGGGTCTCCTCATTGCCGAAAGCTAGCAGGTGCACCAGCTCTGATTTCTGGTGGAGTGAGGGGAGAAACGTGGGCAGTCCTTTGTCAGTAGCAGCCTGGGTTGCTTTCGTTTGACTTTTCCACTTTCAAAGCCTTTCTTCCTGTCTTTTCCTGCTCTACCAGATGGCGACAGCATCGTTTGGATCGCAGGCTACTGTGTGATTCATTTCAGGGCAAGGAGCCAGGGTTGATGTCAGGACACCCCAGGTTTTCTCTGAGCACCAGGTTTCAGCTCTAACCAGTAGAAAATAATCATGTTGGACGTTTGGAGCATGAAGAACAGGAACTGAGCAAAAGACCATACGGCACATATTAGAATCACTCGCACAGCAATCCTTTTATCTGTCAATGGCCTCTCAGATGGCTGTGTTAACTTGGCTGGGAAGAAATCGCTGTTCTGAATTTATAGGCTTCCCTCCTCTCCTGGGCAGACAGGCAGCCTTGGAAATACCAGTCCCACTCAGCATTCTGACATTCAGACTGGCTTAAAAAATCTGCCCTCTTGATAAATTACAAACGCTTATCCAGATACTGTGCTGGGTAGCAATTTAAAAGAGAAGAAGAGAAGAATGACGAGAAACCAGTCAATCGTTAGACAGCTCCCTATGGCTGCAAAGCTTTCTTCACCAGCACTTCTCCAATCCCACAGTCGGTGATTGGTTGAAAATGAAAAGGTACATATCTAGGGCTACATTTACCACTACAAGAGCTGCCACCATGACCCTCACCTCAGTTACACCAACACCAGCATCATCACCATCACCACCATCATCACCATCACTACCACCAGCTATATTACCACCATCACTCCGTCACCATTGTCACTGTAATCACCACCATCACTGTTGCCATGGAAACCACCGCCACCACCACCACTGCCGCCGCCACCACCAATATCACCGCCACCACCACCACCAATATCATCACCACCCCCACCCCCACCCCTGCCACCAATATCACCACTGCTACCACCACTATTACTGAGCATATTGTGGTCTTCATCTCATTTAATCTCCCTGGCACTGCTGGGTGTAGAGATGTTGAAACTGGATCTGTTTGATAGGTCGTTTATTACTCACTATAAGGACTCAAAGGAGCCAGAATATTGCTATGACCGTTTCTTCTTCAACATCGTCATCATCTTCTTTCTCTTCATTGTCATCACTGTCTCATCACTGTTGCCTTTGAGTGAGGCTTTATTATACTACGTAAATTACTTCCTTGGGTCAGCCAGTTGCATAGTGGTTAAGGTGGCTGGATCACAGGGCTAACTGTGGTTCGAGTCTGGACTTGCCACTGGAAAAGCACTCTGGGCACATATGTGTGTGTGCCCAAAATCCTGAAAGGAGGGCAAGATGGAGAATGGATTGCATGGCCATCCCACTTGTGGGACTGCTTTCTCGCTCCTCCCCTTTCTCTCTGTCTCTCTCTGGTGGGCACATGCACCCTTGGGCAAATTTTAAAAAATTATTTCCTCAAATATATTATTTGTTCTACTATATTTTGAGATAATAATTATAAGTGTCCATGTGGGGAAACGAAGACTCAGCAAGCTAAATGGATTGCCCGACTCCATCTACCTTGGATGATGACTTTGCTTTCAATATCAGAGAGGAAAGAAAGGAATTGCATAGGGAAAAGCAGAGAATTCTGTGGACTGCACTGAGTGGCTAAGACCCAGAGTCCCTCACGCAGAGCTTTATGCCCCACCCCCTGCAATCCTCACTCCTTAGATCTTGGGTGGCCCCAGGAGATCTGTGCCTTGAATGTGGACTTTTTTTTTCTCTTTCTTCTTTGGCTGACTGGAAAGATGGTACCCCATAGTTTCTCTGGGTAATGTGCTTGGGGGATGGTCCATGAAGGATTCGACCTGGGAGGATCACACGCTTCTGACTTCTGTGTCTGACCACCTGCCACCTTCTTGGTCTGTCCTCTTGCTGAGAACCTGGCTGTGGGGGTGATTGCTTCTGTAGGTGAATTCTTTGTCTCTCTCTCTCCTGGTGTACTGTTCCTGCTCTCTCCTGCATCTGCTCTCCCAGATGGATTGACCTGACTTCCCTGGCGCAGGAGTCCTCCTACATCCATGCTTCCACACACGCTGTCATCCTCCCAGGTGCTCAGTCATGGAATTACCCGAGGTCCTCAGGCTGGCTGAGGAAGCTGGGAGCTGCCAAGTTCCCAGAGTCATCTGGGAGGAGTAGCTGGTGCTTCACCTCCAGCCACATTGCGGCCATCTTCCTGAGCAATTCCGCTCACCCACAGCCCAGACCTCTGCATCGCCCCTTCTCTCTGATTCTTCCCTACCCAATGCTGAACCTTCTGATGACTCCTTTCAGCCTTTCCTCTCAATAGAATGACTTTGCCGGTTTGGGTGCTGCATTCTGATGCACTAACCTTGAGGGAACACGGTTTATTCATCATCTGGATAACCAGTGGCTCTGTGGAATAATCTGGAAGCAATTGGCAGGGGTGTCATCTAGCTAGAAAATTGAAGGTGTCTGGGTCACTCTCCATCAGGAAGGGAAGCTGGCAGCTCCAAGTCCTTGTATGGTCAGCTGTCCAAGGTTGGCAGTAACCAGAGCAAGTTCTGATGGGTGAAGAGACCAGATGCTCCCTTCTAGAAGTATCTATGCCTACACTTCGAATTTTACGTGGCAAGTGTCAGGAAACTTAATCTGACCCTTTAGCCTGGCATGTTCCATTGCTCATGAGTGTGGCCCAGGGGATTCTAAATCAGTCCAGCTCACTGTCTCTCTGCAAGTCATAGAGTTTATTTTTTAAAAAGTGTTATAGGGTGCATGCACTCACCAGAGAGAGACAGAGAGAAGAAAAATGAGAAAGTAACCCACCAGGTCTGGGACTTGAACCATAGTTGGCTATGTGGGGGTCCAGCACCTTGACCACCATGCCCCTATTGACTCTGATATCACTTCTCTAACTGTTCACTGTCATCCTGCCTGTCATCACTGATTTGGGAGCACATCTATCTCAATGGGACACTTTGGTTACCCACCCACAGGCTGCCATGTGGCCACACCTTGTGGGCTCACAGGACGTGGCATCGAACAAACAGGGCCAGTCCCTGTGGCATGGCAGTGCAGGTGGAGAGGCAGTGGACGACACAGGTGTCAGTGGTGGACCTGTGGAAGTGCTGTGGGGTGGGGGCACAGGGAAGAAGAGTGCTGTCCTGTAGGCGGGGCAGACGCCCCAGGTAAGGGGGTTTTGAGGGGAGATCAGACGGAATCGAGGAGCTGGCCCGGGAGACTCCTGGGAATGAGCACTCTCGGTGAAAGCAGAGCCTGCAAGCGGCCGTGACGTTGGTACTTACCTGGGGGTTCAGGACCAAGGAAGGCCGGTGTGCTGGAGGTCCGAGGGGAGTGTGAGGACATGACAGGGAGGCAGGGCTGGGAGGCACCGAGCTTCGTGACTAGTGAGGCGACAAGCGTGCAGTGCTTGGGGTACAGGAAGTATGACTCGATTCGTGGGTCAAGAGTGTAACTCTGGCCACTCTGAGAAGAAAAGGTGAGGGGCCAGCTGTGAAGGGGTGACTGTGTAGGAGGCCATGCAGGGGCCCAGGGGGGAGGACGGCAGGGGCCCAGCGGGCTGGTCCGGCGGATGCTGAGCACCGAGCAGTGGTGTGGGCACCTCCTCTGTCCTTGCTGCTCCCAGGGCCAGCAGGTGAAACTCAGCTGTGTGGCTTCAGACTCCGGAGCCTGTGGGTGGCTCTGCTCAGACCGGAGCCCTCTGCTCGACCCCCTCGTGTAGCCTCCGGGCCTGGATTACAGACAGTGGCTGCAGACCTCCTGTCCTTACCTCCTCCGAGCCCTGGCTGAGTCTGTGATGTGCCTTGTCCCTGTTACTCCACTGGGAAACCTTTCTTCTCCTGCCCACAGGCCGACTGCACCACCTCCTCCAGGAAGTCTTCCCAGTCCTCAGGCAGACCTATGAGCTCCCAGTGCCTGCAAGCCCTCCCCAGGCCGTGTTTGTCAGGGAGCACAGGCATACAGCCGGCTCCCTGGACACCTTGAGCTCCATCTGGGCAGAGGTCGCAGTTGGTCCTTCCAGCATCCCCACTGCCTGGCGTGTAGAGGGGTTGAATGTGCAGATGACGCAGGACAGACAGGACCGCAGCGTGCCAAGTGTGCCAAGCGAGCCTTTGAGTCCCTTGGGCTGTCAGAACATGAGGCTCTCCTCTGAGCTCCACCAAGCTTCCCCGGCAGCCCTTCACCCTGAGCCACCCGCAGGGCCCAGGTGCCACCCCCTCCCCCTCATGGATTCTGCAGTGTGTAAAAGGGAAGGGGGTCACACTGTGACAAGGGTGCAGCCCAGAGGTGCTGTACAATGAGGAAAAGCAAGCTGGCTAGTCAGATATGGCCTGCTGCAGCCAATAAAGGAAAAAGGAAGGAGGAGGAAGAGTGTGTGTGTGTGTGTGTGTGTGTGTGTGTGTGTGTGCGTGTGCGTGTTGTGTGCGTGAGAGAGAGAGAGAGAGAGTGAGAGAGAGAGAGATGCTTGGCCGTGCAGTGTCTAGGGAAGACTGACTGACATCTGGTAGGATTAGTTGCCTCCAAGGAAAGGAACCGAGGGGCTGAGGCTAAGGAAAGGAGGAGTGTTTCGGCAGGGACACCTTCCTGTGCCTGGGCCTGTGGGGCCATGTGTTACCAGAGCACCCAAGTTACGGAGCTGGGATCCAAGCCCTGCCTGGAGCCTGCACTGCTGCCCTGCGTCCGTTCTTCAGGGCGTCTGAGCAGTACGGTGGAGAGCCCACCCAGACGCGTTACCAGAGCGGCCCTGGGTGATGTCTGCTGCTGTTAATTCTGGCTTCTTTTGCTCTCAGGGGAAGAAAGGCGACGTGGGCCCACCTGGAATTCCTGGATTGCTGGGGCCGCAGGTAACTACTGTTTTTAAATTCCCTTCCATAGCAACACTGCTTTCACTGGCCAAATGAACGACCAGGTAGAACGCTTAGGCTGGAAACAAGAATCCTGCCAGTCACGTCAAAGCATTAAAAATAATGCCCAGTCGGTCATTTGTCCTCCCGCGCTGCCCTCCTCCCTCCCTCCCTCCTCCTGCCTCCCTTGTGTGCCTGGGGGCTGGCGAGGAGGTTCAGACGGATGATCTGCGTCTGCTCCCGGAAGAATTTCGGTCTAGAGGAGGTCAGACAAGTCTTACGGAAAACAGAAGGGGAGGGAGGCAGGGTGGTGGCGCCTCCTTCCTGGGAGGCTCATCTCCCAGAGGGGCGTGGCTCTGCAGGGACCCAGGTGTGTGGACCCAGGGTGTGCATGGAACCCACAGCATGTGGTGCTGCTGAGCAGACGGCAGGACGCAGGGAGTGGTGGGGGATGAGTTGGGAGCGGAAGGGGCTCGGGGTGGGTCCGGACAGTCGGGGGCGATGGCCACTGCAGGACTGATGGGCCGTGCTCTGGTTTCAGTCTGACTCCGGAACACTGGGACATTGGCCAGGTTGTTCCCACTCTCTGGGCCTCAGTTTCCCATCTGTAAAGTGGAGGATTTCGGACTGCAGTTATAGAAGCTCCTGCTCTTGAACAGGAGGTGTCTTGGCTCCCCGGACACCCCTTGGCCGCCACCTCCTTCCCCAGTTCCCACGGATCCTTCAGGCTGGGCTCTGTTGCTTCTATCACTCACTTCAGCCCACCCACACCCTCACAGCCACGAGCCCACCTGTGCCTTCCAGTGCTGTCCCTGAAGGTCCCACAGCACCCCGGCCTGACGCACCAGCTCAGGAGCCCCTGGCCCATTTCACAGACGAGGCGACACTCCGGGGGCAGAAGGGCTCACTCAGGGCCATCCTCTGCTTAGTGAACACCACCCTCAAACTCGAACCCCTCACTCCCCAGGTGACCTCAGCCCTGAACCTCCTAGCTCTTCTTAATTGTAAATGCAGGGCCACCCTGAGCCCCTCCAGGGAAGCATAGTGTGTCCCAGGCAGGGCAAGTGTCTGGAGCCCAGGGCCTGGCGGGGTGACACTTTCGCCTGCCTTCCTCTGGTCCCCACTAGCCTCCCACACCCCCGTCCTCCCCTCTGATTAGTAAAATCCTAGTGAGCGAAGGTACAGAGTTACAGAACCAGGAAGACCCATGTTCAATTCCTAACCTTCCCTATTTGCCGGCGGGGCCTCCTCGGACAACTTAACTTTCTGAACTTCAGTTTCGTCATTTCTTAGAAATAATATCAATCAGGCCAGCCAGTGGGGTGGTGGTTAAGGGAGATGGATCCCACATGGCTGAACTGAATGGTTCAAGTCCTGGACCTGGCAGGTGTGCACGTGTGCCCAAATCCTGGAAGAGGATGGACTTGCAGCATGGCCGGCCCCCGTGAGGGAGCTTTCTCATATTCTTCCCCGCCCCCATCTCTCCAGTGAGCACATGTGCCCTCTAGCAAATCAAAAATGCCACCATGACCACTGGTCATAAAGGGCGATGCTGTGGTGGAGAAGAAGAGCAGGGACCTGGTGGGAGGTAGTGAGGTTCCAGGTAGGCGCTGGCTGTCCTGGCGCTCTGGCTGGGCTGTCAGCAAGTGGGTGGGCGCGAGTCTTTCCCAGTCTTCTGTCTGGCTTCTCCCAGGGCAGGGCAGGGCCTGTGGGCTTTAGCACGCACCTGTCACCGGCATCTCCGTCTGCACGCCCGATCCCTCGTGGTGACAGTCACGTCACCCATCAGGCGTTGGCAGGGAGGCACCCACCCCGAAAGCACTGCTGTGGGGGCCGGCTGTGGAGGCGCTGCCGTCAGTGTCCTGTGAAGAGGGGCCGCTGGGCAGGGCCGAGCCTCCCGTTCAGTGCTTCTCGTCAGGGTCGGGGCGCGGCGTGGAGTAAGCGTGAGCACCATCATAATTCAGTGTTTTAAAGATTTCACACTCGGTGTGGCATTTTGCTGTTAATAATGAGAAATAGGGTGATTTTTGCCTTTGTTTTATGGCTTTGTTTTCTAGTGAGCCGAGCTCGAGTATTTTAGAATTCATCATCAAGCCCTATCACATTACTGTAAGCTACAGATTTCCCCCACATCTCTTTGTTTGCTACCCTGGAAATATATTTCTTTCTTTCATTTCTAACTTTGAAGTCATTTTCATTGAACAAATCTTTACCGAATGCCAGGCATTGAGCTCGCTGCTGTCGAGGTCAATATTTGCAGGCTTTCCACAGCAGGGGCTTGCGAGCAATAGCCTACCCTGATTTATTCAGATCTCAGTGACTCGGAACCAGCCATGCGGACTGCAGCCGGCTCCCTGCTGCTCTGGAAGGATCGCTGCCTGACGGGGTCAGAGCCGTGTCCCAGCCACCCCCAACTACGGCAGGTCCTGCGGACCCCTGCCCTGCCCTCCCAGTTCTCTCCTCCTGCCATTTCCTGGTTCCCACCATTCCTGGGCTGGCCCGTTTTCTCCTTATTTTCCTTATGTGTGCGTTCATTTATTCGTTCCTTGTTTCAATAGCTATTTATTAAGTTCCTGCTGTATGCCAAAGTTGGCCTGGGGTTTAGGCCCTGACTAAGTAGCCATGATCCATGCCCTGAAGAGCTGAATGTTCGTGGAGCAGAAAGGGATGCAGAGAAAGTGGGCTTTGGTTGTTTTAAAGTTTCTTTCTTCTATGAGAAAGAGGAAGAACAGAGGGAGAGAGAGACAGAGAGACAGGTGTTCTCAACAGTGTCTTCAGGTCACAGGCCAGCCCGCCTCAGCTGGTGCAGATTAAGGGCATGTACCCAAGTGACCAGCCAGCTCAGGGTCCTGGGTGTGGCCCAGGGCCTTTCCCAGATGCGTCCATGTCGCTGCCATGCCGCCACCTGACCCCAGGGAAGATGTTTTGATATACATCTGGGATAAGGAAAGGCTGTCGGATCAGATGCCTGGCACTGGGATGGCGGTGTTCCCCACGTAGCCCAGGGCAGGTGCTCTCGATTGTAAGGCCGTAGGGGCAGGGCCAGGCAGAAGACAGGAGACGGACGAGGGCCAGAGCCTTCATGTGCCTTTCAAGGGATAGAATGGGCGCGCAGGCCGAGCAACTGAGCTCGGATAATTCTAGGAGGCCCTGGGCTCAGGGCTGGTGTCTCGTTGTCTCATACCTGGCCTTGGGATTGCTTAGGGCAGAGGGGGGAGAGTGTCCTGTCTTGGGCAGCCTTGGCTCCCCTGTCGCTCCTTCTGTCTCTGGAACACCTTCTCAAAATCCAGGAACCTGAGCACAGGGTTGGATTAGGCCCCGTGTAATGGGATGCAGTCTTGGAGTGTAGGAAGCCCCTGGGTGGCTGGCCTCCCCTGGATGCTTTGGGTGTTTATTTTACAAGGTGAAACATCTCAGCTGCTGGGCAATCGTGTAATGTGTGTTCACGTCCGTGGTGTGCTCTGTGGCATACCGCCACGCCCAGGCGGACTCTGAGGACGTGGAACTCTGTGTCTGGTCTGGCCAAGTGCCAGTGCCGTGCTCAGGACAGAGTCCCTTGAACTGGTGGGAACACAGCTGGGTGTGGGAGGTCCCACCTGAGGGAGGCCTGTGTGGCCTTGGGAGCCTGAGCCTCTGTGCAGAAACCCCGAGGTGGGCAGTCAGCACGGCTGCACCAAGGCAACCAAGCCCTTGGAGAAGGACTCACAAGTGATGAACAACTTCCCCCGAAAGCAAACATGCCCAAGTCGCGCAGAGCACTTGACTGCCACACTAATTTATACAAGTTATTTCCATATGCAGATTTCATCCACCTTCAAAAATGCACTCTACTCAGAGCTAGGTGGCTATTAGGAATAATTATTTACCATTCCTTTATTAGCGATAATTAGGCTAATTGGTTATTTATGCATCATCATTGTAATTACTAATCACATGAAATAGCCGTCTAGTCACTGTAGGATTAGAAGGATCAAATGCCATTTCATTAATAATAATTGGACTGATTGGTGAATTAGTAGATAGAGTCATTAATAGTTATTTCAACTTAATTAATGAAAGCACTCATGTATTTTGTTGTTAGTATTTAGACCCGATGGCTGATTTTCATTCTCCTTAATATTTAGATTAATTGATATTTTCAGTATTTTATTAATGACTAAAATAGAAGAAAAGGAAGTCACATTTGTGAAATCCTCCTTGGTTCTGGGCTAGTTCTGCATAACATCCTAAGGGAGGGGGTTCGACCTTCCAATGACAGGTAGGGAGACCTGGCTCCCCTGTGGCTCCATCCTGGGGAGTCCCTGGGCAGCATCCACCCTCCTCCAAGGGGCTGAGAGTGAAGCCACTGCCCAGTGCACTGGGGCGGAATGAGGCCACCGAGGACTTGACCCAGGGCATCCTACAACAAAACCCTATTTTTTCAGAAGCTCTTAGGACCTCTTCATCTCTTGGTCCAGAGAGCAGGTGTGGTTACCTCCAGTACCTTGGAGAGCTCCGGCCCTGCTGGGTCTTGCCTCTAAGTCCTACCTTCCTTCCTTTCAGCACAATTCTTTCTGGAAACACTAGTATCCTCATCTGTAAGAGGGGGACCAGCAAGTGGCTTGGAGGTTAAGATGGCTGGATCCCACGTGGCTGACTGCGCAGTTCATGTCTTGGACCCAACGGTTTGAAAACCACGCTGGGTCTGTGCATGGGCATGTGTGCCTGAACTATCAGAGGAGAATGGGACAGAAGGGATTGCAATATGGCCATTCCCCCTTTGTGGGGTGATTTCTTACTTTTTCTCTGTGTGTCTCTCTGGCAAGCACACACACCCTTTTAATAGAAATTATTAATGTTTCACATATTTATGCATTAAGTATTTAGTGAGGCACCAGCAAGTGGCTTGGAGGTTAAGATGGCTGGATCCCACGTGGCTGACTGCGCAGTTCATGTCTTGGACCCAACGGTTTGAAAACCACGCTGGGTCTGTGCATGGGCATGTGTGCCTGAACTATCAG